CATCACCACACAAACCAGCTATGACCATGTATGTAGTACACAACACCACACCAACCAGTTATAACCATATCTCTAGTATACATCACCACACCAACCAGTAATGACAATATATCTAGTACACAACACCACTACAACCAGTACTGACCATATCTCTAGTACACATCACCACACCGACCTGTAATGAACATATTTCTAGTATACATCACCGCAGCAACCAGTTATGACCATATATCTTGTACACAACACCGCACCAACCAGTCATGACCATATCTCTTGTACACATCACCACTCCAACCAGTTATAACCATATCTCTAGTATACATCACCATACCAACCAGTTATGACCATGTATGTAGTACACAACACCACACCAACCAGTTATAACCATATCTCTAGTACACAACAGCACACCAACCAGTAATAACCATATCTCTGGTATACATCACCACACCAACCAGTTATGACCATGCATGTAGTACACAACACCACACCAACCAGTTATAACCATATCTCTAGTGCACAACACCACACCAACCAGTAATGACCATATCTCTGGTATACATCACCACACCAACCAGTTATAACCATATCTCTAGTATACAACACCATACCAACCAGTAAAGACCATTTATGTAGTACACATCACCACACCAACCAGTAATGACCATATCTCTAGTATAAAACACCATACCAAACAGTAATGACCATGTCTCTAGTACACAACACCAAACCAACCAGTAATGACCATGTCTCTAGTATACAACATCACACCTACCAGTAATTACCATGTATGTTGTACACAACACCACGCCAACCAGTAATGACCATTTAACTAGTATACAACATCACACCAACATGTAATGGCCATATCTTTAGTTCATAATACACTTCAACCAGTAATGATTATATATGTAGTACACAACACCACACCAACCAGTACATATCATGTATGTACTACACAACAACACTCCAACCAGTAATGACCATGTCTCTAGAATACAATATCACACCAAACAGTAATGACCATGTGTCTAGTATACAACATCACACCAACCTGTAATGGCCATACCTCTAGTACACAACAACACTCCAACCAGTAATGACCTTATATCTAGTACACAACATCACACCAACGCCAGCTAGCCTTATTGATGGTAACAAAAAATTGTACTGACCACAAAAACAGAGGGTCGAAAGTGGGTGGGTTTTAAATATCAAGTTAGATCTGATGATAACGATTCGCAAGATGGATGCCTTATGAACAAAGGGACGCGACCCTCAGGTCACCTTGACCAATTAGGGGCCAGCATCCCGATTTACGTCATCAGCAGCCAATCAATAACCTCCAATATTTTCAAAAACCATTAAGGTGTCTTGTTTCATAATATTGTAATATTAATGTTGCTAACTTATAATAACCCTCACCAATTAATAGCAGTTTAAATAAATAAAAAACTTGTTATGGTGTTATGAGCATAAATTAAGCTAATTGCTTAGCTGCCTTTTATGTCTCTCCACCCATAACAAGAATAACTCAAAGAAGAAATGTGAGTGAAATGGCCACCCAAAGGGTGACATTATATTTATTGTACTGATTAAGCCACCATGTGGCTTGTATCAAAAACTTAAGATTATACAAAGTGGTTGCAAGTATACCAAACATGGTAGCAACTACAATCAAAATATAACTAAAAACCTTAGCTAGCCTAAGTGGGGTTGCCAAAAAACGCCACAAAGAATTTCATGGAACACCTCTCATGACTATCTAGTATACACCACCACTCCAACCAGTAATGACCATATCTCTAGTATACATCACCACACCAACCTGTTATAACCATATCTCTAGTATACATCACCACACCAACCTGTAATGACCATATATCTAGTATATATTACAACACCAACCTGTAATGACCATATCTCTAGTGTACATCACCACACCGACCAGTAATGACCAAATCTCTAGTTTACATCACCACACCAACCAGTAATAACCATGTATCTAGTACACAACACCCCTCAAACCAGTAATGACCATATCTCTAGTATACATCATCGTACCAACTTGGAATGAACATATCTCTAGTATACATCACCACACCAACCAGTAATGACCATATATCTAGTACACAACACCACACCAACTTGTAATGACCATATCTCTTGTATTTATCATCGTACCAACTTGTAATGAACATACAGTTGTGGGACCGCACAACGCACCACAAATGGCGTTCGCACACCGTGCATACATCGTTCACACACCGTCCGCACATCGTCCACACATGGTGAGCACAACTGTGCGATTTAGCAATCGTTCGCCCCGTTGTGCGCATCTCTACGCACGATTTGGTATCATTTGTAGATCAAAATTACGGAATGACAAAAATACGGAAGGCTTGTATGCGATAATTTACACTGTGTATATCTCTGTAATTTCTCATCACAATAATCAAAATTATACAATTTCACAAATGCATACGCGTGTTACACAGTATTACAGCGACCGTTAGGCTGTCAAGAATGGGTTTGGCTCCGAGGTAACAGAACAGGTAAATAACAATTTGATGAGTGTCCGGATTTTTACCTGACCAGTGCCTGACACACAGAGCTGATATGCGATACCGTTTGAACGTAATAAATAGTGTTTGTTATATGCATTCGTTTGCCTATAGGTCCCCTTCACCTGGATTTTCACACCCCGGCCTTACCCGACGAGTTACGTAAATGCCCCAGGCGGGGAGGAAACTACGGTCCTGATGCATGTACAAAGTGGTTATGTTTACCTGTATACGGGATCGTGTTGTAATTTTACATGTCTCGTTTAAGTTTATTTAAAAACACAGAAAACACAATTTTTAAATGTAAGAATGTATAGACAGAAAGATAAGTTTATTGATGTTGCTAGAATATAGAAACATACGTAAACATCAAGTTTATATGTTTAAACACGAAACCGTATAAATTGTTCAGGCATTCCTCAATTTACACCAACCACGATTGTTATCGCACAACGTCTGTCCATCGTGCGCACAGATGTGCGCAAGCAATGATCGTCCATCTTTTTGTCGTTCGCCAATCGTGCACACACCGTTCACACACCGTGCACACATCGTGCGCACACCGCACATCGTGTAACGTTGTGCGATCCCACAACTGTATCTCTAGTATACATCACCGCACCAACCAGTAATGACCATATATCTAGTACACAACACCACACCAACCTGTAATGACCTGGCCCCGTTCTCACAAAGTTTCCTTAACTTTGAGGATTTCCTTAAGTCTAGGATTTCCCTCAAATTTGAGGATTTCCTCAAATACGGTTCTCACAAAACATTTGGGGAAATGTTCTTCCTTATCTTTAAGGATTTCCTCAAATATACTTGAGGAAGACTCAAGGTTCCCTCAACTATTTCCTCAAGTCATTCAAGATGGCGAATATCCACAAAATGATAAGATTAAGAAGAAGAATTAGACGCCGCCGTCGTATTTTTAAGCGCATACTTGACCCGATCGGCGACCGGGACGTGTACCAGCGGTTCCGGTTTCAACTTGAAACCATCAATTTTATTGTCGGCCTAGTGACTCCAAACATCCAACTAGCAACCAGTCGGAGCTTGGCTGTATCCCCCTTTTTGCAGGTGCTGGCTGCCGTAAGGGTTTTCGCCACTGGGTGTCAGAGGCATTGTGTCAACGGGCCAGAAGATTTATACGATTCCCTGTGGGTCAGGCGGCGTCCGTTGGCAAGAGGGCCTTTTACGATTTGGCTGATAAGTGTCTTATTACCAATTGAAGATTTGCTAAAGAAAGATAACTCTTTTTGAATTCGTACAACAAATAACCAAAACATTTAGTACCTAATCAAATGGACAATCTGGGCTATTAATGGTTCATTATGGATTTAAATTGTGTCATATACACATGTTATACAACACTTTTAATTATTTAGGGGTATACATATTAGTTTGGCCTTGGAAACAGGGTTTGAAGTTTCTTTTTAAATGGAAAAGACGTAATTTTTGTGTTGCGCACAATTACAACAACTGGCTTTATATATCAATAAATTGCACCATGGGTACCTTACAAGTATGAATAAGTTTGAATAAACTAAAACTAAATACTTATTGAGCAAGAGTTATGATTTCTTTTTATTGATGTTTGTCGCATCAAGTTCTGCTATATCATTTTTCAATAAATGCATTAAAGTGGAAAATTGTATTTATAAATATATACATGTACACACACTAAACAATTTTTCTACAACTACTGAGTTTTCACAATTACACTTATATGTACATTTGTACCAAAATAAACAGCCTTCTCCTTCCTTTACAGCCATTCCTTTCCTACCATTATAATGTTTATTATTTTTAACTTTTTGAACAGTGTTACTCTACCAGTATTACCATTTGTATAAATACAAGCAAATGTTTGAATAACTTTGACATAAACTCTAATCTTTTAAGTAAAATCAACACACATTACTTAAAATGAATTAACTTAATGTCGACATGAGAGGAGAAACTACTACAAAATTTAAAATCAACTGTTCTCTGAAAAAGTTACTATATTGTAGTATTAAGTAAATGTATGAATACCGTTTACTCAGAGTAACAAGAGAATCATTGGACCTTAATGTTCATCTGGTGGGAAAAGGCATATAATTTAGACTTGGTATTTGTTTGTTTATAATTAGAAGATTTTTAAAATTTTGTTTAAATTTCCTCTTTCAGTCCAATAGCAGAGCGCACTGAGGTCAAACTCAACCATATGAACAATTAGTTGTATGCCCTTGTAAGGATTCCTACTACCAAGTTTGGTAGACATTGGTTTTGTGATTGTTCAAATTTAAGTGGAAAGCTTAAAAAGTTAACAGGAGAAACTATGTCAGACACAAGGGTAATGTCTAAACTATACATGCAAGTGTACAAAATAAAATAGCAAAATACACAATTACCTATAGCTATGATATGTGTAAAACTATTACTTTGCAGGTTTTCCTCAAGTTGGTGGGTGCATTGATGGTACGTTTATACCAATCCAGGGACCATGTGAGAATGAAGAAGATTTTGTGAATAGAAAAGGGTTCCACTCTTTAAACATACAGGTAAATTGGTTATGACAAAAATAAACAAATCTGATCATATGTACACTATACCTGAGCACACAAGACTATTATGTTTTAGATATGTCAATTATGAATTGGTACAGTATTTTCAATTTGAAATAATTATAATTTATTTTGAAAGGATCCAACAAAAATCAGGCTGAGAGTTTCTTTGTGACTTAAAGCTGTTTTTGAAAATGATCAGTATTATAATTTAAGAAAATATTTTCTTAGACAGAAAGTCTTGGTGTATAAACATCATAATTATTGAGTTCATAACAGACCATAATTTAACTTTTAGCACAATTTCAACAATTGTCTTTCTAGCTTAAGACAGCAAATCACAAGTTGAGACAAAAAGCTCTGCAAATTAAATCTGAAGTACACAGAATCATATAATATTAGTTCAACTCTTTTGTAGATGACAGGTGATGCCCACTTTGTGTGGCAAAATAGCCTGGAAGCGTGCATGACGCAAGAATGTTTCGGGATAGCCACTTGCGTACTAATTTTGAGAATGGTAAGGTTTCAACAATAAAATAATTTGAAGACAAACACTATAAACACAAACCATTACATATCAAATCCCTCTGTTATGTTTAACACATCTCAGGGATTTTCCTAGACTGTTTTTGGGTCCTGTTAATGCAAAAATAATATAAAATTCAAATGCCAACCAAAAAAACTCCCAATTACGTCCATGGTGATATCAAAAAGAAAAAAACAAGGGGAAAGAAAAAGAAAATTGCAGTTGTAAATTGAAACAAGTGGAGTGTAACACATTATTTTAAATTCTTTTCCAAATCATATTTTTCCCAATTTGGGGCTTTTAAAGCAAAAGTCCCTATCTGTCTGACCCTGGACCTAGTTGAATAAGAATAGGAAAATCCCTGATTCTGCATCCCCTCTCACCAATAATGCCTCCTACCAAGTTTGGTTAAAATTTTCAAATAAGGATTTGTACACCTGAGGCAAATCATGTTCCCAGTGGACATGCACAGCTAGAGGGAATAATAATTATGTTTGATCAATACTTCAAGATTTTATAAGTAATGCTAAGGTACATGAAAATGTACAACATAGTGCTTATCATTTGTACTAAATGTCATGAACATGTTTTAAATATTTTAAGAGTAATGCTACAGACAAGCATGTGTGACAGACTTAGTAAGTTTTCTGTTAAAGGGGGGATAACTATGGGTATAGTTAACCAAGAGTTGTGGTTCTTGTGCATTACACACCATCACATAGTGCTTATCATTTGTACACAATGTCATGAAAATATATCATACAATTTCAGACCTTTTCTCTTGACAAAAGGTGGAGAAAGTGACAACTTTATGCTACATGTCAAAAAAAGATTATGTTACTGTTATTAATTGTCACAATGTACATTGTTTCTCATTGACAGTCCATAGATTAATTCATCAAATGCATTTTAAGTTGTAATATGAATATATATTTATGTTAAATCACATGAATTCCATATCACAAAGCTATTCTAATTCAGTTCTTATTTTGTGGAAAACCTCTGCTTATATATATTACAGGAACTTTTAATGGGTTTCTGCTAGGAGATTCAGCATATCTCTGTTCAAATTACCTGATGACTCCATACAACACACCTGACACAAGGAGCAAGCAGAAATTCAACAATGCTTTATGCCGAACACGTGTAACAATAGAACAGACCTTTGGCATTTTAAAGCGTCGATTTTCCTGTTTGCATACTGGTTTAAGGGTACAGCCACAGAAGGCTGCTACAATTGTCTTTCGTGCGTAGTTTAACACAACATTGGGATAGAGAGGGGGGATATAATCAATGCAGACATAGATAATATTGGAGTTGAGGAAGGTGAACAGTTAAGGGGACAGGGCATAAATACAGGGGAGGCAATTAGGGAGTTAATTAGAACCAGATATTTTCCTTAAGTTTTATATACAAGGGATGCAATAAGGGAGTTAATTAGAATAAGATATTTTCCTTAAACATTATATACAGGGGATGCAATAAGGGAGTTAATTAAAACCAGATAGTTTCCTTAATTATTTTATTACTAAAAGATACAATATTTGAATTAATTTTACTTTTTATATTGAATATGTGAACATTGCATCTGTTAATAGCAAACAAACTATAATTCTAAATGCAATCCAATTCAATATCTTCTGTGGCTGATTAAGTCTTGATCCTATTTCTTTTTGTTTTATCAAATATTTCAACATATAAATACCAAAATGTTAAAGTTCAAACTATTTGAGGGAGAGGTTCACAAGAACTCCTTTTAGACTGATGAAGGAATTTTAATGAAACTTGGTAGGATATTACATTATATGATGTAGATGTGCATATTAGCTTCAGATTTTTTTTAACAATGTTTTGGGGAAAACAGTGAAAATGTAGATAATTATATAAGATTCACCAAATATTTAGGATTCACTAATGTTGAACAATGTTTACAGTAACAAGTTTTGTGTATTTTCTTTTGGTTTAACTGTTATTAGCATACAAATGTATAGGATTCAAAAGTTTGTCTCGGTATGTAGTTTTATATTATTAGATTATTCAATAAAGTTTTAGAAACAAAAACTTACCAATAAACATGTAACACCCCAAAAACTTATTCACTAGATGGTATCCTGGACATGGAATCCTAGTTAACATTTGCAAATTAGACAAAACTTTAAATAATAAAGTGAAATTTATAACTTATTTTGAGAATATTTGGTTTTTGCTAATAACATATTTTTCCTCAGCTCAAAAAGATCAACTTCATGCTCCTTTTGGAGCTGAATCATGCCACATTCTAGATCAATTTTTCTTATTTCTGCTAAATCCCTACGTTTTTCAGTAATCAGCACATCTTCCTCGAGATCAGGTTTCTTCCCCCTCTTTTTAGTAATTTTATGTGGTACTGGCGGTGATTCTTCCACCTCATTGGATGTCTGTGCTGGTACAGGTACAGGTTCAGGTGTAGGTACAGGTGCATATTGTAGATGTATAGGAATGTCATAAATGTTGACATTTCCCTCAGTTAACAACTGATTTAAACCTGCAAAAAAGAAAATTGATGTCATATATTAACAACAATTAATCGATTAAAGATAAATATGTTTAATCTTATTCTGATTGATACGATTTAATCACTAATTTACTTCTTAGTTTAATAGCAGCATGTTGGCTCAGTAGGTAGAGCGTTTGCTTTGTGCTGGTAGACTGGTGCTGAAATCCCAGTTGCAGGTTCGATTCCTTGCAGTTAGATGCGTCAAACCCCAAATGCAAAAAGGACCTGCATGATATTAATAAAAGTATTGAATGAAATATTGTAATACCTTCCATTTATGATTAAATATATTTTTTTATGGTCAAAATGTTTTACACTGATTGCACTTACGGATCGAAACGCCCAAAAGGGCCTATCAGGGCTTGGTTAAAGAAAATTATTTTGTATTAATTTAATTACTCCAACTTTAAATATTCATATTTGACAAACCTTCTGTGTCATAGGCCATAGGGAGGCCACATTAAATTGGCCTTCCTGACATCTGCTCTATTAACAATATCTGAGAAGCTGATGGCGATGCTGGTCTTGGGCCACCCCCAGTTTTAGGCTTCTTTATTCATCATATTGTTATTTTGCTTTAATAAAACAAATCTTAATTAATACACATGGATTCATGCATTATCCAAAAGACAATGTGTAAATTTATATAATGAAGTTAACTTATACTTTCATGTATGTGTAATTCATTTTTTTAATCTAATACATTAAATCTATGTTAAAACAGTAGATTATATCATATTTATATATAAAGGTTTTAATTTTAAGCATTTATACAATAATGCATACATATTGCAAGTGGTTTAAATATACCTCGTGTCTTTACGTTGTCATATTGCTTCTTCAGCTGATCTAATGACCTTGGAATATCAGCTTGTCTGAAAAATGAGAGTACAAATGTAATCCAAGGTTAAATTGAAGTAACAAAATATAAGATTGAGAGTGCAGGTTGTTTATTTGCATGCATATTACTTTCTATATGTAAATACTACCTTTTTTTTTATTTATTTTTTATTGAGGATTTCTATCAAAATATTTGAGCTTTAAATCATCTTTCTTGCTGTAAAAAGTACTTTTTATAAAAAGTAATATATTGTGATCAGTCAATAATCATGGTAGTGGTTGTTACTGATTTCATTTCAACAAATTTTATTGACAGATTTTATAGTCAAATCGATTGAATAACAGGCAAGCCTATATAAATTCTTTCCATGAGTGGCTCAAAATTTGATCATATATACAATATAGTTACAACAATAATGATTAATTAATTTAAGGATACTTTGAATGAAAAATTATAAAGAGTAATATTAATTAAAGGTTAAGGGGAGATAACTCCAACATGACAAACACAAAGGGGATAAACTCATCATAGGACATCAAAATAACAATACACAAACAACTCACAATCATACATCCAACACACATACAATTATTTTCTTATAAAATAGTCACAGTCAGTATATCATATCTACAGTAAGAGTAGACTTTGACCAAAAGTCCATGTGCATTGATGTGCACAGGTCATTGCTACTAATACAGTTTATGAGTAAAAAGTACAAATTTAAATAATGTGACAGAAAGGCAATATAATATTATGAACAAGATATAACAAACCTACTCAACTGTAATCTCATTTATCATGATGCATCAAAACGTTTATACTTTGTTATTCCATTAACAATTCTAACTAGATAATACATCATGGCTTTCTAAGACATATACAAATTAAAACGCCTAGTTTTTCCAATAAAAATCTGAATATGACTTAGCATCTGTCTGTTTATATTCAGATCACATGTAGGACAACCTTGAAAAAATATATTTAAATCCATATGGTTACGATTACTAATATTATTCAAAGAAGTAAACAAAGTATTTCGTTGTTCGATATACAGTGGACAATTGAAGAAATAATGAGAGGCTGTTTCATATTCAAAAGAGCAAGCACAAGATGGACTGTCTATTAAATGGTCACGATATAAATCAGAATTTAAATTACTACAGGAATTTCTTAATTGGCAAAGAATAATATTTACCATTCTTTCACCGTCGTTTTTTAAAAACTGAAGTTACTTCTCTGTCCTTAACTTTATCTTTATTTTGTAATTTTTTAAACAGAGCAAGAGATGGAGAATTCAACATATCAGTATCCATAGTGTTGACATCGCGCACATAAAGGGGAAAAACTGTCAAAATAGTTATAAGTACTACACATAGGTGGGTTAAAGAGTCTGGTTTGTCAAAGAGAGTAGGGATTGCTATTATGATTGTTAATAAAAGGATTTGTGACATTTTGCAAGTATTGAGATGAGAGTCCATGCATTATCTCATACATCATTGTTTGTTTATGTTTATACCTTCTTGCAGACAGTGTTTCCCAACCAAGTTCATTATAGAGTTTATTGTGTGATGTTCCTGAACGAGGACCAGTTATAATCCTAGCTACTTCTAGTTGTACAGATTCAAGTAATTCAATAGATTGTAAGGTGCAATTATCCCATACAATGTCGGCATACTCCAAAATTGGTCCAATAAATGCAATATATATTTTAATTAATGATTTACGACCTACCTTAAATTTGATATACCGATGTTACTGATTCTTTATGATCATATTCTGTTGATTCTGTCTCTTGTTGTATTGACCTTTCATTCCTTTCTTTCAATTTATTCTATAGTTGTTCATTTTTTCATCAAGAATAGTCAGCCCAATATTCAGTGCACGCACAAATTCTATAAGCATCTATTGTTTTCTCTTACTCGTATCATTTTTTTTATATTGGTTCAATATTTTCATCATGTTTATATGATTAAACCTAGACTCAATGGGATATTGAATTCTCCTTCTTCAATTTTGCAATCTGATTAAAATCACATGTTTGTTTGTGATTTTCTGTGCAATGAATGAAACAATTTATATCCATGAAAGTTTGTACTTTTACTGAATACAGTAGGGTAGGGTTTAATCTGTTACAAAGTGAGTTGTATTTAATGAAAGTTTCGATAACAAACTTGACCATCTTAGAACCCTTTATATTTTGTATAACCGGCCGAAGTCCGAACTAGACCGGCCGGGACGATCGTCAACTTTTTAAGTCCATAATTTTATCATAAAATCATGAAACAGGAAAATGTTTTTTGTTATATAAGCCAAAAGAAATCCACAAAACATTAATTTTGATAATAAATGTTTTTATTTTTTTCAATTCAGCTTCAAAATGTGCCCGTCAGTACAATTATAGATTTGTACGTGCGCCCGTGAAATACCCAATCTCCAGACTGGAACGAAATGATTGGTCAATTTGCCAGTCGAGAGATTAAAAAAAGAAATTGGCATCAAATACCTTTGCGCACGGTCTCATCTTACACGACTCGATGTTGGTTTTGTTTTAATCTTATTCACAGGGGGGGGGGAAAGAAAACAACGATAGACAACATGACCTAAAGTCAGTTGATTGGCTTACTAGCGAAGGTGCGATAGTGAAAAAGTCGAACGGGACTCTAGACTAACCATGTAATAAAATAAACATGGAAGACAATACAAAAATGGGAAGTACTTTGGCATTAAACTTGGAGACAATCTCCTTCCACGCATCGGCTTTCACCTGTGCCTCCCGAAGGGGACCCTTGTATTTCCTAAATAGAACCGATTCATGTGGCTGCATTTCAGAGATAAGCAGCACTCTGTCTTTCTCTGTCCAATTCGGACACCGGGGTTTCTTGGCCGCTTCCATATTTATGAATTTATCAAAGAAGACGACTTTGACAAAAAAGGGGAAAAAGTATGTGTTTGTTTACAATATTCTTGTTTATTGATTTCCAATCAAAAAAGAGTTCACAGCTGGCCGCTTATACCAACGGACATCTTTTCCTCAGCTGAGGATTTCCTCAAGTTCGATCGTGAGAGCCAACTTAAGGAAAATCTTAGCTAATGAATACTTCTTCCTCAACTCATTCCTCAAACTTGAGGAATCCTCAAAGTTAAGGAACCTTTGTGAGAACGGGGCCATATATCTAGTACACAACACCACACCAACATGTACTGACAATATCTCTAGTATACATCACCACACCAACCTGTAATGGCAATATCTCTAGTATACATCACCGCACCAAATTGTAATGACCATATCGCTAGTATACATCATCGTACCAACTTGTAATGAACATATCTCTAGTATACATCACCACACCAACCAGTAATGACCATATATCTAGTACACAACAGCACTTCAACCAGTAATGACCATGTATCTAGTACACAACAGCACACCAACCTGTAATGCCCATATCTCTAGTGTACAACACCACACCAATCAGTAATTACCATTTATCTAGTATACATCACCAGACCAACCAGTAATGCATATCGCTAGTATACATACATGTACATGTAACCACACCAACCAGAAATGACTATGTATTCTGTACACAACAGCACACCAACCAGTGAGTGGCTACCATATATCTTATATACAACACCATTTTAACTAATGAACTATAACAATATATCTAGTAAACAACGCCACACCAACCAATGATTAATACATATAAATGAAACATTCAGTGCTTAATCATATGATTATTGTTTGTTACAGTTAATAATGTGACACAAATTGAGTAAATCTTTCCGGATTATAACCCTCTATATATTTAATTTTTGTCTTCACAGCGTCCTCCTTCAGGATCGAACAACACGAGTAACCAGACCAACTGTAAAGTGTGTCTGGGTCTTGGAGAGGTCCGTTACAATGCACTATTTTCAGTAATGAGATGGACGTAAGTGTTTGTAATGCTTTTACTGTGTTTACCTCACTTAAAAGTATCAAAGCGTTACCGTAATGGATAACAGGAGTTATTTTTAGCGTTAGGAATGCATTAAAATGATCGTATATAAAGAGTTGTGAGGTAGGAACTTAACACAGTAGTATAACGTTTTGTTTACTACATTTAAGTATGCTATCAAAACTTAAGCGAAGCAACAAAACAGTTTTTAATAATAAATATATAAATTCACGTAAGTAATGATAGTTTAACAAACCACAATAATTCACAAAATATTATGAATATCATAAGGACTAAAATATTATGAGTATCATAAAAACAATCCTTTATGTAACTATTGAAGATATCTTCCATTATTAGGTCAGCCGTCTTTATTCTGCCTTCAGGCTTCATAATTGATAGAATTGGTAACAGCCGTAAGTATATCACGTGTTTTGTTAATAGTTTTATTCGGTTTTACGTTATAAAGTATATGAGATTGTTTCCTGAAGTGACAGATTGGCCTCGGAAACCAAATATATTTACTTCACTAAATGCGTATTAACTTACACGTCTTTGTTATTTCCAATTAAGAATATGGAAATATATTTTAGTAATTTGGATTAAATACTTCATATTTATGAAACGGAATTTCGTATTGATTGTAATCCTTATTTTCAGATGTAATTTTACTTACCGTCGTCTCCTTCTTCGCAGTGATTCTGTGACAATTTCCGTCCCATAGAGCAATGACCTACGACTGAGCACGTCATAAATATTGATGTTATTTTACTGAAATGACACATTACTGCCGGCCGTTAGCATGTTCATCAGATACGATATTATTAGTCCAGTTCAAAATGTTTGATATCTCTTTGCCCATTGGACACATTTATTTTTCATTATGAATAGACGGTGTTTGGAGTATATCTGTATATACGTGCAGCCACTGTCAAAGCTTCAGCCATGGGGAATTGCTAAATATAACCGTGTCTTTACAATGAATTCTGAAGATATTTTAGCAATTAACTTAACATATAACTATCATGACTAGACATGACGTTTCAGTTTCGTACAGTTAATGCCAAGGACAAACAAAAGGAGCAAACATAAGACAATGGCAAAGAATTGAGAGTTCGAACAATACTTCCTGGAAAGTATTTGTCGTGGGATATCCAATGATATTCTTTGCTTCGCTGTGCTTGATTATTCTAGGTTCTGCGATTCTCCTGAGCCTAACGACGTTGCTTGGGTCAGTCCTTTTCGCAATTGGAGCGATGCCACATGGCCCGACTACTCTACCGATGTACCTATTGATGGTTGCTGGGCGGGGCATTCTGGCCATTGGGGATGGGCCACTTAAAGGTAGATGTTTATACCCAGTGTGCGAAAAATATATATTTGAATGTTTTGATAAACTAAAATAACCATGAAAGGCACTTTTACAGCAGTATGTAGTTTGATCAATTAAAAGTTTGAAACGAATACCTTGACACAGTGACACAGACCATAACGCATTAAAACTATTTTGGCTCATGTCTCTTGTAATAATGTTATAACGCAGTATTCGACATCAAATACCCCATTTAAGACATATGCAATTCTGTTTTCAAATGCATGCAACCCTTTCTTTAGTACTTCAGGTCAAAGTGGTTGCCTATTGCTTCCCAGGAGCAACTGTTGTACCCATGGCGTTTTGTACAGTCGGACTTGTGGGGAAAAGTTTAAGCTATTTTGTAACACCTAACATTGCGGCAACAGCAGTTGGGTTTCGTGTCTCTGTATGGTTAGGTAGGTACTAAAAGAACTTAATTATACAATTGATCAATCGTCATGACTAGATCTTCTACAGGTAAAGATATGCCATAGTTTGTGCATGCCATTATCCCAGCGAAAATATTTGATTTTATATATACCCTTAAAGATTCCCACCATGGTTGACATTGGTTGGGCCCTCATGATATATATAAGTAATTTTAAGAAGGTATACGTGATATGATGCGATAATTGAAGGTCACACGAGAGAAGACATTAGGTAATTCATAATGTGGTGCAGCAACGCTCACATTCCAGAAGCATCTGCTTGTTTACTTTCGAAATTGCTGTGGTTTGTGTTGTCATATTTCATGGAAGCACGTTGTTGACATTTATTTTCATATAGGAGCAGTTGCCTCTGGATTCAGTTGTATGTGTGCAGTTTGTCTCGTCTTACTTCTTCAAAAGCAGAAACCCTTGGAAGCAGATGATTATGAAAAAAGCAAAACTCCAGTGAGTTGCATTTCAAACACAATCGTTTGACGCAATTCTATAATAAAGAAAAAAACTGAAGGTTTTCTTGTTTAAGTAATTGAAGTATCCAAGATAAAAATCTTCCATTTTGTGTTTTAGACACTTAAAGACATAAATGGCCTGCCGACGAATTTTTGGCTGATTATATGGACGATGGGGTTTATCCAAGGCGCTTGGATCTGTGAGCAAGCCAATTTACCGTAAGAATATTGCTATCCGTATTTTCCCTAAATTGATTTTCTCCTTCAATTTTTGTAAAACTATAATATTAAACAATCATCGGTATATTTCGATGTTTAAGCAGAGCAGAGCTACCGTCATAGAGTTTTATTCTATTGTTGTAGAGACTTTTTAGAGTTACGGTATGGCTTGACAGTAACAGAGGCAGGCTACATTACCGGCGTTCCTTCTCTCATCATTTTGTCAACTCCTGTCGTTGCTATATTACTGGTAAGTGTTTCTAGATTCAGCTTTATACCTGTTCCCAATAAACCAAGATGCAACAAAGATGCACAAAACGACCATGTTCTACCGTTGCTTCAATATTTGACTTTGAACACTATGAATGATATCTGTATTATCATGTTGGTAGAATTCTATTTCATACATGTACATGCAAACAATAGAATAGATAGCTATACTGATTGTGAAATTCAGAACAGTAAATACATACATTTGTTTTATAGAGGTACATTGACTGTCATGGAGTCGTTCTCACAGCAGCCATAATATGGATGACGTCTGCTTTTGTTTTATTGGGATTCTGTCCGGCCATCCACCCCCTTATCCTCGCCATAGCATATGGAATAGGTTCAACGACATATTCGGTAAGTTTGTATATCGGTGTTTGGTGTAGGTGGAGTGTAAAAACTAGGGATGGTTTTCTGTCCTGTTACTGAGTATATTAAGAATAATGCATGGCTCTGTTGAATGTTTTAGATAATAGCATGGCAGCTCCTTGTCGTTATCAGTCCCGCCGCCTTTGTTGGGACTATCGGATGTATTTTTTATTTAGTGAGACACCTAACAGCAGCGTTCAGCTTACTTGCCGCTGGATATATACTGCAGAAACCTGAACAGTACGTATTATTAACGTTATCAGATTGAATCTGTCCGTATAGTAAAGACACATGTTCGTGATTTATCAACAACATGACAAAAAGTGTCTTCAAATTCTAAATTATTGACAGATGTCATAAGGGAGAAGAGGAACTAATATTTTGGATTTTTGGATTGAGTCTCTGTTTAAATTAGTTGTTCTTTCGGTGTAGTGAAACTAGCTGCACGATCAGCGTTTGATCACATATGTCGCACTGTTTTACAATAAAAAAAAAACCCACCACAACTTATATATCCTACTCACAGGACTGATTTGAACAGTGCTCTGAACTCTTACAAGCATTTCTTCTTGATGTTGATATTGATGGCGTCCTCCAGCGTGGTCTTGGTTGTGATGATGAATGTGCTGGATTTCAGAGGGGTAAGTTTGCATATGTTATCATTACATAAACATTTGCTGAGATAAGGACAATCATTGCATTATCATTAAATATTGCATTATAAAGTAAACAATTACTGTCTCTTATCTAATTAAGATATAAATTATACCCTTTTCCGTTTCGATCTTTCATCGTGTTTGGTGGTTTGTACTCTTTTAGGCCTGTGCTTTCAACTCGAGGATTGCCAAGTGGAGGAAAAACAATATGGAATCAACAGAACTATTGTCTAGGATTCAGTTACCGACCACATATACAGAAACAATGGACCACACCTCAAACTGACCATTAGAAGAAGATATGTTAGTTGAACTATTTTATTTGACTTGTTTATTTTTTTTTGTAAAATGAATAAAGTCTATGCATAAGGATAAACTGGTCAGTGTTGTATTGCATGTGCCACTATCTGCATTGATAGACAGGGAATGTGGAAACTGTATTGTATTACCTGTAACAATGTCTGTTTGGACAAGAATATACACGTTATTGCTGTATTTTATGTAATACAGTATGTGTTGAAAGGCATGGATATACATGTTATGGTTATACTACATTTCACACAATTAGTCTTGATTGACACGGATATATAGAGGTTCTCCAAAGAGTTGTGATTTGTTATCATGTTTATCTAATTCAATTTGAATATTAACAAACGAGAGTTAGATAAACATGATAACCAACTATCATGAAATTGGGGACCTTTTTCTTCCACAACGTTCAGATATTATATCTAGAAAACCAGATGTTTCTGTCAGGATTTCATTATTCCTGTTTTTGACCGGCGGAAAAATTACCATGAATTATGGTGTCAAAAAGGGAAACTTTGCGTCATACTGAGAAGATCGACTTATAAAATAAATTCCAGGATGTTATCAACTATTGGATATATTTAGTAACACCTAGTAGGTTTATTCAATGAGTCGGGAGTGAGGAAACGTTTATTTATTGTTGGAGAAGTACACGTTATTTAGGGAATAATTCTATTGTATTTTTGAGATTTGCGATGGTATATCGTAATTATACTGATACAAATTGAGCTTTACTGGCGACGCGGAATGGAGACAGTAAAAAGGATATTGTGACCGTTAAATCACTATATAAATGAAATGTTGATTTTTAAGATATTGATCGGAAAAACACTTGTCTGCAGTTCTTTATGTTTCTGCGCCTGACTGCAAGCAACTAAACCAGACTATATCAAACTAGAAATGTCCACCTTGGGACTAAACCGTTGGTGACGTCGCTTATAACCCATTGGTAAGATTGTTGTAGTTACACTATTAGTCCTGTGTTATGCAGCTAACAGTTTGACATGGTTTTTTTGTGGTTTTCTTTTGTTCATTTATTCTAATTCTATGTCTGAAAGCTGTGAAAGTTAACAGGCAGCAAACAATGCTTTTAAGTTAAGTTGGAATTCTACTGATTTTGTTACATGGGTAAGCAGCCTATTGTTTAAAAGGATAAATATTTGAACAACAATCGAAATGGTATGAAGACAAAAGTGCTCTGATTTGTTCGGGCCATTGAAGTATTAAATACATTACATGCTGTTTGTCTAGTATATTGATAGTAAAACCCGTGTCTTCAGTTCATTATAGTGTCCATCTGCGCTTGACCCTAAAACATCAAGTTCATCATACTATAAGAGAAGTAAATGTAGTAAGTGCCTGAAATTAGTGGCTACAAAGTCCTCATACAGCACTGCTTGTATTAAATAATTATGCATCTAAAGTAAGTATGTTGTAAAGAATCTAAGTGTTGCGCATTCTAATGAGATGTGATACTAATTGTATTACAAGTTAAAGTACCTGGAAAATAAAATAATCCATCGGTATATAATTCATTGATAGATGATTTATAATCATTTTTTTAAACACCTAACCTATTTTGGTATCCATCTTTTGAGACAATAAGACTATCAGTAAAACCACCGAAGTTTCTTTTTGGAGACTTGCTGAATGATGAAAAGTAAACCGATTATAATTTTGTTAAAACTTTGGATCTGGATTTATGTAAAGAGAAAAGTAAACAGTTGCGTTATTTTCTCTATCAATGAATAAAATTACATATTGAACCAAATAGCAGATAAATCTTGTCTGTTACATTTGCATACAACACATCTAAATCGACACGTATAAATCTACAAAGGTATGTACAAATTTGAATTTGTTTTCTTTAAACATGGAAAAATCACTGTTGAACAAGCTTACCAAGAACACGAAAACAACAAGAAAACAACAAAGTATCAACACAACCGCCCGGTGAACTCGACTGGAAATGGAAAATACAAACAAAGGAAATAGTCACATTAGGACACGTGGAAAAGTGTAAGGAGAACAAGAATATTTGGTCCGGGTGTCTTCTAGCTCACTGACGACGCTTGCAATATCAATCTACGTTGAATCAAAGTTATTTTATATCTCTATCGAGAGAGTAAGGGTAGCTGTGTGGCATAGATGATCGTTATAGAAATAGTAGACCTTTATACCACACAAAGAATGACTTTTTATCATAATAAGATGATGATAAGGACCCTACACATTTTCTGTAGTCTGCATGAACCTGCATCTTTTGGAACGTTGTGCTGTAAATTTGACCGTATGCAATCTACATCTGTCGCAAAAGTCATGATATTCGCACTCATTTCTTAAATACCAAATCAACCTCGACATGAAGACACCGTAAAAAGTAAGTATTAACATTAATATGTGTGCATGTATGAATACAATAGACAACATGGACTTATAACTTTTTATCACAAACGGAAAAGATTATAGGACAACATAAGCCCTAGGTACAGACAAACAATAGTAAGCGAAAACTATCGCCTAATGAATCTAACGCTTTTCTAGTTCACATGTACCTGTATATACCTATTTTCTAAACTATATTTTTGCACTACTAACGTAATTGCCAATGCGTGTAAAGGTTAGTTTATAAAGGTCATTTGTATCCGTTCTATTCACTGCACGACGACTCTAGAGCTTTGAGAAACGTAGCGCATTGCTGATAACACATGCAAATTATTCATCTATTTAACTTTAACATAACCCTTCTTATCTGACACATAAGATACATTAAAATACGCTAATGAACATTTCGAATGCACACAACACTTATCACAATACATCTCCAGCACACACACAGGCATACACACATAAGGAGATATTAGCAAGGTGGCATATGACTAGTAGTTAGCGCCTGTTAAGGCAGCTCCTGCAAATTCCTCCTCAATAATATATTGATTAATATATATGCTAATTGTATTGACTGTATAAAATTGTATATCTATGTACTGTAAAGCGCTTTAGAGTGGCTTATGCTACATTTAGCTAGAAAGGGCGCTATATCAAATGTGGTATATATAGTATTATTATTATTATTATTATTATCACAGTTTTATCAAACAAATATTTAAAAGATATGCCGTAGCAACGGTTTGAATGATTGAATGATGGTGAACTTGCCTGGGACCTATAATACAAACTATTTATTTTGACACGTATATAGCCTTAGGATGCCTGCTAAAAACTTAAATTGCAACAATGTCGTGAAACAGTTAATTGATATTACAGAACTATTTCTTATAAATTGTCTATCGTATGTTTTAATCATTTTAGCATTATTACTTTCTTTGTTAATTTTACTTTGTATGTCACAGTTTTATCGATTTTCAGTACGAGCTCCAGTTTGTTTATGCCTACGTGTTTTTTTGTTGATATATATTTATAGCTTGATTTTGTGTTAGCAAATATAAAATCTTGATTGAAGATTGTAAGATTGCCATCTATTATATATTAACTATCAACATCCGATGGTACTTGTACAACTGCTACACATACATTGACAACCCAAACCTGGGTTTCACAGAAGGATGCCCTTACATTTTGTCCCTTTATCGCACCGATGGTAAGCATAAAGATAAAAGATAACATTGAATTTAATGTTATTTAATAGGAAAATGAAAATATGGTTGTTTTCCTGTGCAGGATATGTTAATGTATTCGAAAACAAAATGTTACACATCACACGCTCGGTCGCCCAAATTTATAGAATCTCAGCACAAACAACGACTGAGTGTGGTTTATAACGACTTGATAGAAAGAAAAAGTGCTGTGTACCTTTCCTGTTATATATGAAAGGATTTTCAGTTACGATGACAAAACCAGATACAAATCACTGTGTACAATTATGAACAAAACCAAATAACGTGTCCCCCCACTATATGTAACGTCGTTACTCTCACACCCTTTCCAAGAGACAATTACATCTGTATTACTTAATGTAGAATAACAAAAAGCATGGCTGTATGTTTTTTGCTTATTAAACGTGAATAAACCATATTTGCAATGACTGTACGACGCCGTAGTAGGCATGGAACCATGGTAATATACACCCAATCATTATAAACATATATTTAAGAGGAGGAGTGGTGGGGTCGTTGTTCTCTCGGCAGTGGTTTACTCACAGGATGATCAAGCTATAAATGGTTGTCTTAAAGTACTGCATAACCCACATACATGATTACCATGTTGTTTAAAATGATGATTCTAATATACTGACAAAGTAGTGAATTTTGTAATAAATCTTCCAAGTGAAAATACATCATTT